CTGCAGGGAGGTAATTACTGGGGATGTGACTGGCCCTCAACATCACAAGCCCATAGATCTTGGCTGAGATGCCCCATGCTCTACAGCAGCTATAGACACCCAAGACATTGATTTAGGAGCTCACAGGAAGGCAAACCCACAAACCCATCCCAGACTTGGAAAAGCCATTTTTTGGGGGGTTGTTTTGTTGTTGTGTTGTTGTTGTTGTTGTTGTTGTTGTTGTTGGTTGTTGTTGTTGTTGGTTGTTGTTGTTGTTGTTGTTGTTGTTGTTGTTGTTGTTGTTGTTTGCAACCCAAATTGGTCCTATGCCATGCAATAATCCTCTGTACTATCACTTGGCCTCTGCATCTTCTCTGCATCTATGTGCACATTTTTTAACATTATTCCTACCTTCTTCTCTTTTTTCCCTCCTTCCACTCTAGCTACCGTTTCCCCGTTTTTCTCCCCTTTCCCTTTGTTGTCTTGGTTACGTGGCCGGGCTTCTGACATGCTGCTCATTTTCATTTTAATAATACACCTCTTGTAAAGCACAATATTTTACTTCAATTGCATGTGTCACTGGAAAAATTCCTTTGACGTGGATGACATTTATATATCAACCCAAGCTGATGCTGCTTTATGACGCTGGGTACTTTGCAAGAATTTCACGATTTGGACGTCTCGGGAGACTGAAATATGAACTGCATCATCTTTTGTATAAACGTAAAGAGCAACAAACATCAATCTATCCTAAAACTGCACAGGAGAAAAAGAAAGCAAGAGAAGTTTTCTAAGCTGCTGTCTAAATTTCTAAACAAGATTAGCGAGCCAACAGACACCACACTGACGGGAAAAGACTTGATTAGGAAGTAACCATAATAAATAATAAATCATTCCCATTGAGTAGGGAAGGGAAATGGTGTAACCACTATGGCAAACTGCCAGTGATTATTAAGGCCTCCCTTGGATTCCTCATTGTGCACCAGTCAGGTGGCTTGTACATGACCAGAAATTCAAGCCGGGACTCATCAAATAGAGGCAATTTGCCGCTCCAAATAATGCCATTTCACTTCCACCTGCATAATGACAAAACAGGATTTGGGCCATAGCATTATAGAGTATTCCGATCACTCTCCCTATATTATCTCATAATCCTTACAGCAGAACAGTAAGAAAGGTTCATCATTCTATTCTCACATTTGCTTACCAAAGGTTACCTAACGAAACATACAAGACCCAAAACAGGCATGTCCTAACCCATGGCTTAAGATTTTTGGCCACCTGTGACACCAACGCTCATTGGACACTCAAATTTAGGATGGAGCAAAGTCATGCAATGGATCTAATCAACATTTTTAAAGAAGATCTTCAGTTTAGCTCCCTCATTGATTCATGAATGCTCCTGTTCGAAGTGAATCTCTTATTGAAATGGTTCGGGAAAGAGCAAATTAAATAGTGGCCAATATAGTGCTTGAGGCTCCAATACTTTGGCCCTCTCATGAGAAGAGAAGACCCCTTGGAAAAGACCCTGATGTTGGGAAAGTGTGAAGGAAAGAGGAGAAGGGGAGGACAGAGGACGAGATGCCTGGACAGTGTCATCAAAGTGACCAACATGAATTTGCCCAAACTCAAAGCTGTTGTTTTTTTCCACAAATCTGTTCCTTACTTAAAATACTTCAAGGATTCCTTCACCTAAATATGAAAACACCTTAAACACTCTAGTCAGTTCTTGTAAGAAAAGTTCTGACTTTTTCATTCTTAATTGTAAGTAAAAACTGGAAGAAGATTTATCACCCAAAGGCAAACTAACCATTTTTAATGCACTCTCCATTCCTTCCGCACCTTCTCTGCGTACTTTTCCCTTTTCATCTGAAACAGGGAACCTGTTAACAAATGGCTGTATCATGACCTGAAATACATCATCTTTCATCACAGGCTACATGAGCTTCTGCTGCAGCGGCTGTTGCTAGAGGAACCAGAATCTAAGACCTTCTGGAAAGCTACAGGTTCTCTGTTGCTGCTTTAAATCAAGGGAGGGCTGGAGGCAGATCGACTGGGATCTGCTGATCGATCTCTATGTGATTTACTTTAGCTCAGCAGCGGTTTCCGACTCATTCGTTAAAAAAAAAATACCACCAAAACATTTCTATGTGATTTCCTTTAGCTCAGCAGCGGTTTCTGACTCATTTGTTAAAAAAAAATACCACCAAAACAAACAAACAAAAGCAGAACCCCAGGGACAGGCACCGCTTAAGGGGGGGACCCCGAGTGGGGTTTCTTGTGTGGAAGTCCTTGTGGGCTTCTGTGGGTCATTGTTAGGGGGGACCCCAAGTGGGATTTCTTGTGTGGAAGTCCTTGTGGACTTCTGTGGGTCATTGTTAACAAATCCNNATCCATGATTGCTCGGGGGGGGGGGCAATCTGTTCCTGAATGTATTCCTGCCAACACTGCTTTTTTATTTTATTTTATTTTATTTGTAGCTGGGCTAAGGCTGGTGAGGCTTAGCCTTCTAAGAAATAAACAAATAAAAACTGATAGTGCAAGACAAATGTCAGCGTCAAGGTGTCATCCAATCTCTCCTCCAGACTAAAAACGTCATAATAATGGCATCTTTTATCCCGTAATTGACTTTACCTTTGTCTTTTAACCATGCTTGAGATTCCGTAACCTCACAGTATTTCCCAGAGTTTGGAAGGTTCCTCTTTTTTTTCCCCCTTGGAAGGAAGCACTAGGGTGGCAAGGAACGATAGGATTTGTAGTTTTAAAAAAACCACATCATTTTCAAGCTCTGCTCCTTGCGGATTTGAGCAAGCCTTTCCATTGGCCCTCCAATTTTCCATTAGCAAGTAGGGGTGTGCTTTATTTCCATATAGAACATACAACCCGGAAGGTACTTCAGAAACAACCCATGAGGAAAAGTGAAAGATCTGAGAGAAGCAAAACAGGGCAGTTAGCAGCCCTCCTGAGAAGTCACCTTTATCAGGCTATGCCACATTCACAAATGCTATACCCTGATTACTGCTCCTGTCTGTAGAAAAGAAGTAACGGGGAAGAGGATCTCCCTACCGGCTCAGAAAACAGAGCAATTGTTTCCAACATCCTTCTTTTTTCTAGCTAGTTCTACTGTGCACAGTCATGATGGAAGACCCACTATATCCGAGGGCATGACAGCACTCCTGTTACATCAAACCTGGACAACAGATACACCTCATCACCTTAGGAATCGGTGGGTGAGCGTTCTTGTTTTCCTCTTCCCTCCTCATCCCCATTTCCTCTTGTGTCATTTTGGTTTGGTTTGGTTTTCAAGATGGTAAGACTAACGACAGGGGTATAACAGTTATAAATAAATATATGTACACATAGAAGACCCATACAGTAGGTGTGTGTTTTCAAAAAAGAAGACAAAAAGAAGCAGAAAGAGAATTATCACCACGGTGCCTTGGCTAGAGATTTGGGTTTCAGAGTTGTAGTCAAATGTAACTTGAAACTGGGATGAAGATGGAAACATGTTTGTTTCTCCCTCCTGCTCTTCCAAAATGATAGCCTTTTGTAAACATCATTGACCTGGGGGCTAGACCCCAAGGAGAACCAACTCAAACACATGAGACTTTGTAGAAATATAATTTTTGTTCACAGAAAAGCAACAGGACAAAAAAAGCCACCTCTGGGCAGGCTCGAAATAGACATCATATAACCTGTGGCAAGAATCCAGTCTGAAGTCCAAATGTTCTCCATCCAAAGAGATTGCTTTTTCTCATGTTTCTTTTAAAAGAAAAGAAGAAATCCAGACTCCCTAGAGCATCTCTTGGTCACCATTAGAATATTTCAACAAGTTCAAAGCCCTTGCTATGACAGGAAATGTACAACAAACGTTCCCGACAAAGAGTCGTATCCCCACTTACGAGAAGAGAATACACGAGTAGCCAGTTAAACTATCACACAGAACAGAGTAAGCCCATCTCTTTCCATTAGAAGGTCACCTCTAACGGATGCAGAGAGACGATCAAACTACCTTGCCAGAGTTAAATGGCTCTCATAGCCTCCGCTTTGGCTCCAGAATCCAGACACTGATGGGGCTGGATAATAAATTAAAAACGCTATAAAAGAAGAAAGCCACAGCGATGCCAAGGGTGAATCTCCTCTCCTCTTGGAGAACACCCAAGGGAGACGAAACCTCAAGGGAAGGACATCTATTTATAGAGAATCCATGGTGGCAACCCGATAAATCCAAGCAGCAAGGAATAATGTCACTCCGTTGTGACTAGCAAACAAATACATTGCAGGATAACAGCACACATCTCCTGAAGTGAGCTGTCTAGCCAATGACAGGTAACAACGCTGCAAATAAGTGTGTAAGGTTCTAAGCTGCCACACAATACACGGGCTTTTTCTATTCGTCTGGAATCTTGTTGGGATTCTACTGTGCATTTAGCGAAATCACACAACTCACAGGAATAATCGGCAGCTAATTAACAAACTGCCGATCACATGCTTGGTCATGTGTCACCCGCAGAACAAGGCACGCGACAGATCTTGTTAATCAGCTGCAATTCACAGCCTCAACTTATGCCATTTCACTTATTTCGACATAAAGATCCCAACAGGGTTCTGGCCTACCACCTCTGGAATCACTCAAAAGTAAGTAAGATATTTTAAATCCCTTAGAAACAACGGCTGGGTTGAATGGGGATAGTTTTTCTTCTTCCGTAACATCCACGCTGGATGAAGCTTCAGCTGTCTAGCCGACCGTGTTACCAATAAATAAAACAAAACAACCATTAGCTAATTTCCAAACCCTAGTAACAGACAACCGCAAGCAGATATATGCCACTCAATAGGTCAAAAAGCTATTGGGGTCATCCACTTCTGCTTTGATATACTCAAAGAACCGGTTCTCCTTTCCAATCTCAGCAAACCAATTCTCAGAAAACAAAAGATTCGCATGTCCGTCCATCCATATAACTTTTGCCATGTTTTCCTGACGGCAACCCAGATCACATCAAGAAAAGAACCAGCCCTACCTTTTTCAGCTTGCCACTCTTCGTACCCACAAAAGCCAAGGAGTGGTTCTTATAGACGTAAGCAATGACAGATGTCATCCTGTCCCGGTCTTCTGTGAAGATGGGAAGCCCTCGGACCATCTCAGATACTCCAAGTGGGGCATTCATATCCAGGCCGCAGAAATTATCGTCAATTGTTAACAGCTGCAACAAAAAAAGGACAGAAGGGGGGAAAAACATCATTGGAACTGTGCTATTGCAGAAAGGTTTCTTCAACAGTTTGCTAACTATTGTTGTTGTGATGTGCTGTCAAGTCAACGTTGACTTAGAATGGCCTTAACTGGGTTTTCAAGGTACGTAAAATATTTCAGGAGTGGTTTTTACCAATTTCCATGGCTGGTGGTAGACAAAAGCAACCGATAGCTACTAATCGTCTATCGTGCAAATTTCCATGGCTGGTGGTAGACAAATGCAACCGATAGCTACTAATCGTCTATCGTGCTAGACTTTCTCTAAAAACTGGCCGTGGAGGGTTTTTGAAAGTACACCTACGTATAAGAGAAGGGCAAAGGCTCAAATAAACAGTATTCCAGCATGGACAGAAAAATCCGTTTTGAGGCTTTGTAAAAACTTTTTGCAAGGAGTCATCTTGACGCATTTCAAGAGCACTGCTGGACATTTGAAGGATCGATGACTCTTCAGGAGGCCAGTGTGGTACCAATGTGCCATAAGACCTTGAAAGATCCAAATTCAGTTCACCCCCAGACATGAAACTCACAGGATAACCCTCGGGCTGGTCTTAGAGCACCATCAAAACAACTCACATGTTTGATTGTAGTGAGTCCAACAATAGTGTAAGCTGTTTCCTGGTGATCAGTGGTGTAGCACAGGCTGCCTGCACCCAGGGCAAGGCAAGTATTGGGGGGCATGGGTTATGTGCCAGCTCTGTCATGGACAATCTGCAGAGTCACTTTGAGGTCCACACTGGCGGCAGAGGGCGGAGCACCCTCAGATGGTCAGGAGGGGAAAGAGGAGCATAAGGAGTGACCATGGGAGTACACTAGCTCGGGCAGCCCATACGTCCCAAAGAATTTCGCACCCAGGGCAAGCGCCCCTGTAGCCCCGCCTCCCAACACTAGGCCACTGCTGGTGATCACATGACATACGAGCAATAGCCATCCTGCCCAACTCCAACCTGTGCCCAAGCGTGGCAGGTCTACTCTTTTCTGGGGCTAGGGTGAAGTGACTCCGGCATGGGTGGCATTCGGCAAAGGGTTCACACGCAATCTTTTCATGCAGTCTCACTGCCTTAGCAAGACGTAGGACTGCTGTCAAGACAAAATGCTGAGAATCCAGAGGTGAACAAGGAAATCAGTTATTCTATTCCTAGAAGTTCTCTTGCTCATGAGCCTGCTATCACATGATTTCAACAACTGAGCCCTCTTGTTAGCATCTCAGGAATTCCTTAGCCAGAACCAAAACGTTGGTTTATATTTAAGACTGCAAGTCCTATTATTATTACAGACCAGAAAAAAACACAATATGATTTGAAGAATTATCTCACCCTTACAGCAACCTTCAGAGAAAAAAAATGGTCTGATAGTATTGACTGGTGATGGTGGAAGCTTCTTAGTAGCAGCTACAGTACATGGGTCATATCTAGGACAGGTGATACTAGTTTCATGGGTGCTGTGAAGCCATCCCAATCTTTATTCTGCACTTTGTAGAAGTAATTCCAGATGCCGAACCTATTCTAGGGGATTTGGTTCAGCACCTTGGAGAGCTCAGTAAACTCTAGACTGGAACATGGAATGGATTTACAACACCTGTGTTTCCGAACCGTCTTCAAAGGCAGCCCCAGATAGAGTGCATTACAGTAATCAAAATGGGATGTAACTAAGGCATGCGTCACAGTAACCAGATCCGACATCTCAAGGAATGGGTGCAGCTGGCGCACCAGCTTTAGCTGTGCAAACGCAATCCTGGGCACCGACGAGACTTGGGCATCCAAGCTTAGGGTTGATTCCAGGAGTACCCCCAAGCTGCAGACCTGAGTTTTCAGGGGGAGTGTAACCCCATCCAGCACAGGTAGTCCCCCTACTCCCTCATCTGCCTTCCGACTGACTAGGAGCACCTCTGTCTTGTCTGGATTAAGTTTCAGTTTGTTTGCCCGCATCCAGCCCATGACTGAAGCCAAGCACTGGTTTAGAGTCAAGACAGCTTCCCTGGAATTAGGTGGAAGTAGGGAAGAGAGTTTGGCATCATCCGCATACTGGTGACACCGAACCACCAAACTCCGGACAACCTCACCAATGTTAAAAAGCATGGTAGGGAAGCAGAACCTTGAGGGACTCAACAGGCCAATGGCCAGGGTGTTGAGCAGGAGTCCCCTGGGACCACCTTCAGAGTTCTCCCCTCCAGGAAGGACTGGAGCCCCTGCAAAACAGAGCCTCCGAGTCCCATCCCAGAGAGATGGCCCAGAAGGATACCATGGTCGATGGTATCAAAAGCCTCTGAGGGGTCCAGCAGAACCGACAGGGACACCCTCCCCCTGTCCAGTTCCTGGAGCAGGTCATCCACAAAGGTGACCAAAGCTGTCTCTGCCCAATAGCCAGGCCTGAGACCAGAGTTCCCACATTTGGGGCTGTCACTACCAATGGTTATCTATAAATATGATTTACTTCAGTGACAAGCAGATGGCTATAATTTCCTTATTTCATAAAGTCTGCTCACTATGCTCAAGTACCATGCTACTTTGACTGTGCCGTCGGACAAGACATATGGCTTCATCCGAGCTTTACAAATACGCCATCAAACATCGCATCTGGTGATGCTGACAGATGGAGGCAGGTGAATTAAAGTGGATGCAAACTGCTATTGCCATGGCATGTCGATACACACTCAGAGACTCCTAGTTACTCTGAATGAATTACTTTTCCAGGAACTAGTCTAGCAAAGTTCCACTTCAAAATGAATGTCACAAGTTAGACGTTGTTTTATTGGTACGGATAATGTTCTCCAGTCACTCTTAAAGGTTACCATTTAACAGCATTTGCTATTTGGACTGACATTTTTGATGTTTGACGGCCTTTTCATATAATTTTCCCGGATTTGTGAGATGCCCCACTCCAGCCTCTGACGGAACCGGTGTCCTTGGGGCGTCCCACCAATAATTCCACCAGTTTCTTGGCTGCTGGTGAGAGAGATGTCTCTTAATTGAACTCAATGCTTTCCAGAGCAGTTAGAAAAGTTATTAATTTTTTTCAGGATGACAACCCCCAGAATACCTCAGCCACTATCACCAGGAAGACTCCAAGTGTGTTGGATGGATTTTGGTAAACATAGCCTCCTAATAAGTACCATATTTTTTGCACCATAAGATGCACTTTTCCCCCACAAAACAGGGGGGTGGAAAGTCTGTGTGTCTTATGGAGCGAAGAAAACAGATTATATTTTCCTGTTTTCTTCTCCTAAAAATTGGTGCGTCTTATGGAGCGAAAAATAAGGTAACTTTTTCAATTGGCAGGCCGCATCATGTCAACACGGGAAATCCTGGCCTCCAACTCTTAGTCGATCAGCTAGCCTCAGCCCTGTCCTGCTGAAGTCTTCTTTCACTTAAAAAAAATCGAGCAAGATAATGGAAACAAGATGGGGGGGGCGGCATTTGGAACTGCATCCTAATCTCCCGCCTCATGTCATTCGTACAAACACCACAATGGTTAGTGTGCAATTACATGCCACTATGAACAAGTGACAATGCAGTTACAGCCACTTTACCAATTACAGAGGCATTGCCACCCTGAAGCTAAGAGGTTTTTTCCACTTAGTTGTAATTTAGGCAAGAGCAGAAAGGAGAATGAAGTTGCTCAAATTTACTTGGACTTATGTCTTGAGCAGTTCAGACAGCTCTTGGTTTATTGAGGGTTGGGTTTATGGGGTTTTTTGGTTTTTTTTAAGTGACAGATCAAGGAATGGTGTCATGTTTCCAGAGAACCATAGACTCTTAATGCCCCACAGACTTTCCCCGCCTGTCTTTGCTACCACCACACTTCCCAACACATGGCTCTAGGCAATAATATAGCATGTATTGTACATCGTAAAAATTTGTAATTTCCTGCAGGGAGAGCTACGTCTCTTGACAGGGCAAAGGTTTCCCTCTTGGTACTCCAAGCTTGCCTTGACATGGTTTCATTTCATGAGTTAAAAAAAAGAAGTAAACAGAGCACTATCTAATTCTGCAGAGTTTTTCCAGGATTAAGCAAACGCTTAGAGCTTATTTGATCCAAAGTGCCCTATTCGAGTAGGTTCCTCCAACAATTATTTACTTATTACATGTTTATTCCTCTTCTCCCCTAAAATAGCAGGCTTCAAGGCCACTAATAAATATCACAGAAACAGGCTAGAGCACATTACAAACAGATCAAAGACAGATTGAACAATAAAACCCATTAAAATCCAAATTCACTAAAATCACCATAAAATCAGTACTGTAGTAAATAAACTCAAGTCTTAGAGGCTCTTTGTCTTAGGGGCTCTTCCTAACAGTGGTGTGCATTGCAACCGATATCTCAGTTAGTAGCTGCACCAGGTCAGAGAGTCTGAGAGTCCTGGTCTAAAAAAAGGAACTTCCCACAGATCTGGTAGACAACTACCTTTTGGGATACTTAGCTATAAATGAAAGTATTCTCAATGTATTCTCGAATACTCTCAAAAGTATTTTTGTTTTTGCTTTTGTTTTAAGGGCAGGGTTTTCCAAACTGTTCTTTGGCATGTGAATTCTCACTGAAGCCTCAGTATGCATGGCAACCCACCCAAAAAAAGTCCAGGTGACTTCTTTAGATCCTCCTCAGTCTGCAGTTCTGGATGGGAAACATCCCAGGTCCCTAACTTTTGTGATGCTTTATCACGTAGGGAACGACAGCCACTCTTTGTGACCTTCGTAGATCTCACAAAGGACTTTGGTTTGGTTAGCAGGGACGGCCTTCTTAAAATACTTCCCAAGATTGGATGTCCACCTCGACTCCTTAGCATCATCAGCTCCTTTCATGAGGGAATGAAGGGCACTGTAGTTTTTGGTGGCTCAACATTAGATCCCTTTGACGTCCAAAGCAGTGTGAAACAGGGCTGTGAGTCCTCGCGCCAACTCTGTTTTGGATCTTTTTTGCTGTCATGCTGAAGCAGGCCTTTGGAACTGTGACAGAAGG